AATAGCCAAACACACACATAGCCAAACACACACATAGCCAAACACACACAAAGGGACACACACACATAGCCAAACACACACATAGCCAAACACACACATAGCCAAAAACACACACAGCCAAACATGCGTAGCCAAACACGCAAGATTGGCACACAGTCAGACTGACACAGGAAAAGACGCTCACAGTCAGACTAACACAGGAAAAGACGCTCACAGTCAGACTTACACAGGAAAAGACGCTCACAGTCAGACTAACTCAGGAAAAGACGCTCACAGTCAGACTAACTCAGGAAAAGACGCTCACAGTCAGACTAACACAGGAAAAGACGCTCACAGTCAGACTAACACAGGAAAAGACGCACACAGTCAGACTAACACAGGAAAAGACGCTCACAGCCAACTGGCATATTTAACAAGACATACACGGAGCCAACATGCACATACCAAGTAGATTTTCACTGAAATATTTCTTATAAACGTATTTCTTTGAATTTAAAACATGATTCGAGCCAAATTTGTACATATCAGAAAGATTTCTTTCAAGTGGAATCAAGTGCTCTGTAATTTCTGGGCATATGAAATTATTGGTCAAATTTTAGAGCTTGTTCATTAATCTTGCCTTTGGTGAAAATATATTTAAAAAACGGCATCTACCTTTTTCTTGACGTCAAAATATTGTCAATTGAAGGAGGTGGGAGTTTGCTGTCAAAATATTGTCAATTGAAGGAGGTGGGAGTTTGCTCATCTGTTGTCGGGTAAAATAATGGAGAAAATGGCTGCCAAAGTTTGGTGACTTGTAAGTCTTGACTGGCCCTGGAAACTGTAAAATTACACTTTTTTTTGGTGCCCTTGATGGAGGTTTTACAGTAAAGTCCACACAGAAATATGTTTTGAAATGGACATGGAAGGTGTTGAGCCAAAAATAATAAATATCACCAAAATTGGCCAAGAAGCATAGAAATGGAGCGGCTGATTCCACCCTCAGGACACTATTGGTATTTAGTGATTTCACCCGCAGAACACTATTGGTATTTAGTGATTCCACCCGCAGGACACTATTGGTATTTAGTGATAGCAGTGTGTGTAACAGGGAGAGAATGTGCTGAGTGCTACTGTGTGTGTTGTGTGCTGAGTGCTGCAGTGTGTGCTGAGTGCTGTTGTGTGCTGAGTGCTACTGTGTGTGTTGTGTGCTGAGTGCTACTGTGTGTGTTGTGTGCTGAGTGCTACTGTGTGTGTTGTATGTCTCAGGGCAACCACAACGCAGACAGCATTGGCCAGAGGATCGCGGGCATGGAGGAGAAGCTACAGGAGCTGGACGGCGCAGCGGCCCGGAGGAAGGCCTCGCTCAACGACAACTCGGCTTTCCTGCAGTTTATGTGGAAGACAGATGTGGTGGACAGCTGGATAGGTGAGTTTGTGGCCTAACACACACACACACACGCACGCACGCACACACGCACGCACATGCACCCACAGACACGCACACGCACCCACAGACGCATGCACACACATGCACGCACGCACACACGCAAACACACGCACGCATACACACACACAGACACAGACACACATGCACACACACACGCACGCACGCGCACACACACACACACGCATGCAGGTACACTCAGGCACACACAAACACAGAGAGATAGAGGGGGGGAGAGAGAGAGAGGTTTATTGACAATTCTATGAATCTGATGAAGGTTTATTGACAAGTCTGTCAATCTGATGTTTACAAGCAGGTTTATGAGCAAATTTACAATTTGATGGAAGTTTTATTAACAAGTCTGTGAATCTGATGAAGGTTTATTGACAAGTCTGGAAATCGGATGAAGGTTTATTGACAAGTCTGAAAATCGGATGAAGGTTTATTGACAAGTCTGAAAATCGGATGAAGGTTTGTGAGCAAGTCTGTGAATCTGATGGAGGTGTATCGGCAAGTTTGTGGATGAATCTGTTGAAAGTTTAGTGGCAAGTTTTTGTGTGAATCTGATGAAGGTTTATCTTTTAGCAGTGGTCAAACTGGTAACTTATTGTCTCTTTTGTTGGCTTCGATTTGAGATGTTTGTAAAATTTATCATTGGCAGCTGACAAGGAGACCCAAGTCCGCTCGGAGGATTACGGCCGTGACCTTTCGTCTGTCCAAACGTTCCTGGCCAAGCAGGTAGGTGGCTGGTGGGTGAGGTGTAGGTGGCTGGTGGGGTGTAGGTGGGTGAGGTGTAGGTGGCTGGTGGGTGAGGTGTAGTGGGGTGTAGGTGGCTGGTGGGGTGTAGGTGGCTGGTGGGGTGTAGTGGGGTGTAGGTGGTTG